GTTTATTTCGACTCAGTAAATGTTTATTGAGCTCCTCCCGGGAGATATCTATGAATGAAGACAGGAACCCTCCGTCGCACGGGAGGCAGACAGGTGAACAAGTCACGCCTTTTGGTGTGATACACTAAGTGAGAGTCTGCAGTGCTTCTTGGGGGAGACTATCCTGCCAAGGCTTGAAGGATGATTCAGCACTTGCCAAGCAGATGGGAAGAAGGAACATTCCAGGCAGAAAGTGCAGACAAGTGCAGGCCTGGTGTGTCCCGTACGGTGGAGCAGAAGAAATGGCTGTGGGTGTGGGAAGATGAGCCTGGAGAGGCAGGTCGGGTCACGAAGGGCCTTTGAAACCACGCTCAGTCTGGAATTAATCCTAAAGATCAGAGCACTCAAGCCTGGCTACACATAGGATCACCTGGGAAATTCTGAAAAACAGTTAATGCCCAAGCTCCACTCATGACCAATAAAAATCTCTCTGTGCGAGGGTGGGGCCTGGGCATTTGGATCGTAAAAAAATGCTCCAGGTGAGCCTAATGTCTGCCCAGGGCTGAGAATCACAGCTCTAGATCAGAGATCTACAAAGTTTTTCTCTAAAGGACCAGACTAAATATTTTCGGCTTTGCGGGCCATATAGCCTCTGTTGGAACTGCTCACTCCCATGCAGGCATACCTTGTTTTATTGTGCTTTGTTTTCTTGTGCTTCACAGACGTTGCATTTTTTACAAATTGCAGGCAAGTCCCCACACCCCACCCCAAAGTGAAAAGATCACAGCTCACTTTCTTGCCATGCTTGCCTTACTTCCGTGGTCTGGAACCAGCCTGCAGCATGGCTGAGGGATGCCTGTCTTGTGAAAGTAGCATTGGCAATATGTAGACGAGCGAGCTGGCTGCATTCCGATCGTTTGATGCATTATTGTTGATCCACAGTAGACCCTCCTTATCCTCAGTTTTGCTTTCTGTGGTTCCAGTTACCTGTGGTCAACCTCAGTTCGAAAACATTATCTCGAAAGCTCCAGAAATAAACAGTTTATAAGTTTTCAATTTCGGGCCATTCTGAGTGGTGTGACGAAATCTCACGCAGCCCAGGACAGGATTCATGCCTCGTCGGGCGTCTCCACGCTGTAGACACTCCCCTCCTTATCCTCAGTTTTGCTTTCGGTGGTTCCAGTTACCCGTGGTCAACCTCAGTTCGAAAACATTATCTCGAAAGCTCCAGAAATAAACAGTTTATAAGTTTTCAATTTCGGGCCATTCTGAGTGGTGTGACGAAATCTCACGCAGCCCAGGACAGGATTCATGCCTCGTCGGGCGTCTCCACGCTGTAGACACTCCCGCCTGGCAGTCGTGCAGTGGCTGTCTCCGTTATCAGCTCGACTGTCCTAGCATTAGTGCTTGTGTTCAGGTCACCCCGATTTTGCTTAATGATGGCCCCAAAGTGTAAGAGTGGTAGCAGTTCGGATATATCACAGAGAAGCCGCGAAGTGCTTCCTTCCTTTAAGTGAAAAGATGAGTACAGTACAATAAGATATTTTAAGAGAGAGATCACGTTTACGTAATTTGTATTACATTTATTTTTATAATTGTTCTATTTTATTAGTTACTGTTGTTAATCTTGTACTATGTCTAATTTATGAATTAAACTTTATCATAGATATGCACAGAAAGGAAAAAACATAGGGTTCAATACTCTCTGCGGTTTCGGGCACCCCCTGGGTAACGTACCCCCCAGGTGTAAGGTGGGGCTACCATGTTATATTTACTAAGCAATGTATGAATCTGTTCTCACTGTAAAGGAATCGAAACAACACAGACAAAGCTCAAGTCTTTTTTGTTCCCTCATTCATTCTCAGCCCCCTTCCTGGATAACAGCTACTATCAATGGATGTGTCTCCTTCTAGAACTTTCCAGAATTTTCTTTGTGTATATCCATCTACTAGAAAGATATTGTTTTATTTTGTAAAATTTAAAAATATATTTATTGTTCTTAAATTTACTTTTTTTTTCTTCATGTAATAATATGTCTTGGAGAATTTTCCTCAGCAGCAAATATAGATCTATCTCATTTTAGTTGTTAAATAGCATTATAAAATATGAAAGTACCAAAGTTCATTTAACCTTTTCCTGATAGAGGCTAAACTATTTGAAATCGCCGACATTAAACCGTTTTTGTCCCATAACATGGAATTTTCATGTGGTTTAACTTAATGGTTTGTGTCTAATGTTTTGCCTTTACAAGCGTTACTGCCACAGCATCTTGCAATGGGGTGGAGTCTGAGGTGTTGAATGGCTGGGTCACTGGGGATACCAATTAGGAAGGAGTCTTTGGTTAAGCAACAGACGCCAACTCTGGCAAACCTTACCAAACAGAGGTGTTTATTGGCAGACTGTGGGGCAGTTCACAGGATGGAGGGGACAGCCAAAGACCTGCTAGGCTCAGGAGCAGTCAAGTGCAGACAGTCTCCATGGTGGCGGCCATTCCGCAGCCTCTCAGGGGACCACCGTGCGATGATAAAGGCTGAGCTTCGCTCCACACTCATCCTGGGAGAGGCCTGACTTCCTGTCCCAGTGAGAGGGAGTAGCCTCCAGGGACCCCATCAGCTTCTGTAATGAGAGGACAAAAAAGGGGGGAAAAAAGTAGTGTAAGGATTAGAGAGGAAGAAATAAGAGTTTGGAACTAATAAGAAAATTCAGTAACTTTGCCAGACACCAGAAAAAAAAATTACAAAAATCAATAATATTATTCCATACCAGCAACCATCCAATTGGAAATATAGTTAAAAATAAAACACCAAGGAAAATAGCCAACTATACACTATCTAGAAATTGTCTATATAATCTGTTTTAAGAAAAAAAATGTAAAATTGTAAGTAAGGACGCAAAAGAAAGTTTGAGTAAATTGCATGCTATCCAAGGTAGACGAAGTAAAGGGGGTCAAATATAAGGTTTAGGGGGAGGGTGAAGTGGGTAAAGGGGATCAAATATATGGTGGCTGAAGGAAACTGGACTTTGGGTGGTAAACACACAATAGAATATACAGATGTCAAATGATAATGTACACCTGAAAGTTATATGATTGTATTAACCAATGTTGCCCCAATAAACTTAATCAAAGTGAAAAAAAATAAATTGCATGCTATTCACTATGCAATGATTGCTTAATACAAAAATTTATGTCAATTTACCCCCATATAATTTATAAACTTAAAGCAATATCAGTCAATATTTTAGTTGGATGTTTTGAGGAGCTCAATAAACTTTTTCTGAAATTTTCTGAGACTTCTAAAAATTTTCTGAATACAAATTTCCTGAAATTTGTATAAATGATTAACGGTCTACAACGAACTGGCTCAACTAAAAAAATAAAAAAGACTAAACGCAGATACTTAATATACTACAAATCTATAATAGTAAAAACCATATGATTTGGTATTAGAGCCAAGATGGACTTCATAGGCCTGTCACCTTCATAGGCCGGTCAGATAGGGCTCCACATTTAAATGGGAGTTCTATGCTTGCTTTAAATAGGATTTGCTGTCACCATCTTGAAATTCTTAATAATTTTTAAATAAGAGGCTTGGCATTTTCATTTCGCATTAGCCCTGCAAATGATGTAGCCAGTCTTGACCTGAACTAAGATTGTTCAAAAACTAGAACAAAAGTTGCAGGCTGAAAAGAATGGATTTCTTTCTGATGAAAGACACCATAGATAAAGAACTGACAGATAACCGATTGCAGTGATTCAGGTAGACAAGGACCAATATATAGAATAATAAGGAGCTCTTGAAAATCAAATAAAAGAAAATCCATTAAGAAATAGGCAAAGGATACAAACATAAAACTTAAATGTTTACAGAGAACTTAGATGACTGACTGACAAGCAAAAATATGAAAATTAAAACAACTATTGGATATCACTTTACATCCATTAACTATCAAAAATGAGAAAGCTTTGCATATACAATGCAAAGAAGAGGTAGGAACCAGCATCCCTTTGGAGCACAATCTGGTGGGATTTATGCAGTATTTGTGGACCTTATGATCCAGCAATTCCCACTCATAGGAGTGTATATCTGAGTTAAATCCTCACATAGGTCTATATGGGGACACATATGAGGAGTTTGTCTCCATGAGTTTCTGTGTGTGGGAGGCCATTTATGTGCCCATCACCTGGGAAATAGCTAAGCCTAAGATGGTCATGAATAATTATAGAGCAGTTAGAAGCTCTGGACTAGATGAGCACAGTAAACACCATAAATAGTACAAATGTAGCACTGAGTGACATGTAGAAGCAGGAGATCTAAGGTATAAAGTCCTTTGTATAAATTAAAAATACAGTTACCCAAAACAAGAACACCTACAAATGAAAGGATCTGTGGGGAAGGGAGGAATTTGAGGGAGGCAGAGAGAAAAGGGGAGATGAGGAAAGATGAAAGAAGAGGAATGATCTTAAATGAAGGAAGGACATAGATGAGCACAACATAAGAGGGCTTTGCAGGACCAGTGCTAAGAGGGCCATTAACCGTGGGACTTGATTATCGAACTCTTCTGCTCCTGTTTAAAATAAAAAATTTAACTCTCTCCAAAATAAGGTTCCACAAAATTGGATACAAGAATTTTAAAGACATGAATATTTTCTCTTGGCCGTAATGGGGGGTTGGGAGTCAGGTGCGGGGGGAGAAAAGCTACCAAATTTTAGTTTCATATTTTTACTCTCCAGAAGCATTTATTTTTTAAAATAATTCGATCCTTTACATTGTATTGTATTGTCTTACTTTATTTTATTTTATGTTTTAGCAACAGACCACGTCACCAACATGAGAGCACACCTCACTGTTCTCCTTCAGCGATGAGAGGGATCGTAGATGCAAAATGCAGGCTCAAAGAGTGGCATCTGATATATCAGTCTCTCTCCTTTCTTCGATCATTTAAGCTTGAGTGCCTGTAAATTCGTTTAAAAGTGACTCAAGGAAGCTAACTTTGCCCACTTCTTTTGCTTTGAAATTCAGTGTACGACTCTGTCGGGAAACTTGGGAGCAATATTCTCGGTGGAAACGTGGACAGGCTGGGTTCTTACAGTGAGTGCCTCTCCACCCACACTCCCTCGTGGAGCTTCCAAGGACAGTACTGCAAGATTCATCTCCTGCAGGTGAGCACGGGGAACCTGAACACATGCTCTCGAAGGACCAGTGGACCTCATGATGTAGAATCCATTACAACTTCACTGATTGCTTTTCTTAATTAAAAAAAAACTATTAAGATGTTTTGCAAAAAGTTAAAACTAAATTTTAAGCAGTTGGCAGAAATTAGCTAGTGTGTTCTGAGCATGGGACATTATAGGAGGCAGTTGTCCATAAAACACATAAGCCTACAGATGTTCCTCTTACCATATTATGTGGGGAAATACCGCTGGAGGACCTTAGTGGGTCAAGGTCAAGTCCCAGTCTACGTCCCTAGGCATTAACTCCTGACTCACCATCAGTTTTCGGAATACCAAAGGGAGGATGGGCTTTCCGTTACTTGTAATCCTTTCCCAGAAACAGAGCCCCAAAATGTGTATTTGAGATTATCCTAGCAGAAAGGCTGGGACTTTTATGAATATATCACTGAGGTCACAGGGCTCAGTATCTTCAAAGCAAGTTAATTCTTTTACTGCTGGGGGGAAAAAGAACTAGAATATCACAGCCTTCGACTACATATAAAGATAGACTTTATGCATGTCACACAGCACTAAAAGCACATATTACTGGTTTGGTAATAACAATAGTATAAAGTAACAATAAGAAATCCAAACTCTCTAATATTGATGCTCTAAAATAGTCTTAGAACAGTTAACCATTGGAGATAGGAAGATTATCACCCAGCTCCATTTGTCTTGCTGAAAGTTATGATGATTGCTTGAGGGTTTAATCAGTGTGTGCAAATGTCATATCCTATTTTCAAAGCAGATTAATGACTTGGTATCAGAGCAAAAGGTCAGGTCTACACAATCACGTAAGTTATATGTTTAGAAGCATCCCAGAAATTTTTTGTTTATAATTTGATCTTTGCTTTATTGGGATAGGCATTCTAATTATCGGCTTGATTTGTTAATAAAATCTTTACTTGATACATTGTGTCTTGCTATGAAATAATGACAACTTGGCAATTTCATTGAAAATTGTAGAAGTGTTAACTGTTAATATAGGAGAGAGATGCACTTGGGCAGACTATCCCACACTGGTGGCTGCTTTTTTATTCATTTATTTATTTTTATTAAAAAAAAAATTTTTTTTTAAAATGCCTACAGCACCTGGTATTCCAAGGTGGTCTCCCATCCAAGTACTAACCAGGCCCGACCGAGATCAGACGAGATTGGACACGTTCAGGGGGGCGTGGCCATAGGCTACATTAAGCCTTGGAACATATTTTCATTTAAATATAGGTGCATCTGAAGCACTGTGAATTCACTTGAACTGCTCTGTTATGGAGAAGCCATCTCCAAAGAAGTCAGCAAACTTTCCTTCTTTTCATACCTTTCTGTTCCCTCTCCCAGTGTGCTTCATTGATGGGTAATGCAGCAGCAACCTTACTTAGAAATGATCGTGCAGATATTCCATGAACACTAACATTAAGGGAACGTGTGACATTGTGTTTCCCAGGATGGAACCGACTACAGTGTGGGTGTGTGTGTCCCTGATTCGTGTGCCGAAGAGGATGTGACTGTGATGTCTCAGCTGGGTAGGTCCAGGGAAACAATTTGTCTCAGCATAAAGTTTGAAAAACCCCAACCCCTTGGAGCCAAGAAAGGCTGTTCTTTTAGGACTGAACCCAACTTTCATCCTGATAAATTCAATAACACTAGAGTAATGGAGTTTGGGGAGCTGGGGGGCGGAGGTGGCGGAATAGGAAGGGAGTAGGTAGGAAGGAGGAGAAAAGCAGTGAGGAGCTGAATCTCAAATAAAAGTTTAAACTTAAACAATCTCCCCTCACACTCGCCTGTCTGGTTGGGCCTGAAGAAAGGAGGTGAGTGGTATCCGGTTTCTATGCTGTGCGTGTCCTCTGCTGTGGTCCATGTGTGGGGATCTGTCAGCTGCTAAATCCAGAAGCCATGCTGAGCCAGGCGTGCGTGAGGCCAGTGTGTTGTAATGGATTAGGGCCCAGCATTTGGTCCTGATTGTCACCTCCCAACTCTGTGATCCTGGGCAAGTCACTTAATCTCCCCATACTTCCGGCCTCTTGCTCTGTACAGACGGGGGTGGACGTGAAATTCAGTCCGGATGTAACTCTGCAGCCTTTCAGGCGTATCTGACCTTAGCCATGAGGAATGAACACAATTTACTCTGTGTGGAAACTGGTTTGATTTCCTCTAAATCTTTCAAAATGTTCAAAGGAAGAGCTTTAAAGCCTAAAACTTCTGTCTTTTGTATTTATTCTGGTGATTGAAATAAGAAGTAACAGGACACATTAAAAGGAAGACTCTTTCTCTACTTACTTCTCAAACCACATGTGTGGGTTTCCTCCTCACATGATGCAATTCTGACATGAACTACCCGAAGGAAGTGCTGACCCCACAGATTAAGGGCTCGGCGCCACAAGACTGCTCCCTACTTCAGACACCAATCATAAATAGTGGGTGCTGTGGTTACCCACACTTGTGTCAAATTTGGCTGCAGATCAGGGGTTCCCATGACACTTCATGTTTGATAATTTGCTAAAACAGCACTGAACTCAGGGAAATCCTTTACCTTTCATGACTGGCTTATTAGAAAGGTCAAAACTCAGGAATAGTCAAAGGGAAGAGATGCATAGGGCAAAGTATGTGGGAAGGGGCACAGAGCACGCGTGCCTCTTAGTGTGGACCACTCCTCCCAGCATGCCAATGTGTTCACCAGCCCAGAAGCTCTTAGAATTTCTTTGTTTAGGGGTTTTATGGAGTTTCTATAATGTAGACATGATTGATTGAATCACTGGCCATTGGTGACTGACTCAAACCCCAGCCCCTCTTTCCTCCCCAGAGGTCAAGGATGGCGCTGAACGTTCCAACCCTCTAATCACATGATTGGTTGTTTTGGAAACGAGCCCCCATCCTCCTAGAGTCACCTCATTAGCATAAACTCAAGAATGGTTGAAAGGGGCTTATTATGAATAAAAAACAGATGTCCCTCTCATGCCTAGCACTCAGGAAATTCCAAGGCCTTTAGCATCTCTGATGCAGGAACTGGGGATGAAGACCAAATATATATTTCTTATTATGTCATGATATCATACACGTTCTTAAAAGTCCTCTTTTAAATGTCGATATTACAATTAGTTTTCAATAACCTTAAATTGCCCTCTGAATTTGTGATTATCGCTATAGCTGCTGGTATATTACCTATTTATCTAACCAAATATTTTATGTAATGTTAAGAAGACCAATTGTTACAAATCAAATTTCAATTTCAATTCTTGTTACATAAGTCATGAATATCCTAGCGGCAAAGATAAATGTGCGGTTATTATTAAATTAGCATTTCAAGCGAATCAATGAGTCCCTAAGTCTAAGTTAATGTTCCTTATTAAAAGATTTTACAAATTAACCAATTTTTTAATGCTAAGCTTATAAATCGGAGTTGACATTGGAATAAAATGTAAAGTTAGAAACCATTATCAAATATATTTATTTACTTATTTTTCGATTACAGTTGGCATACAATATTATATTAGTTTCAGATGTATAACGTAGCGATTATACATTTATAGAATTTATGAAGTGATCATCCCGCTAAGTCTGGTACCCATCTGACACCATACACAGTTATCACAATATTATTGACTGTAGTCTCTATGCTGTACTTTACATCCCTGTGACTATTTTAAATAACTGCCAATTTGGACTTCTTCATCTCTTTCACCTTTTTCACCCATCTTCCAGCCCCCTCCCCGGAGGTGACCACTAATTTGTTCTCTTTTTACAAAGATATTTTGATGATTCTCTGAGAAACTGGGAAAAGGAAGGGCCCTGATTAGGGTGAGCAGAGCTGACTTGGTGGGTGTGTTTGTGGTCTTCAGTCTTCACTGTCAAGGTGTTTCTCCAGCTTCTGCACAGAGGCAGCAGATAGAACTGGGAGTGTCTTTGCCTATGAAAAAGGTCCCATCTGGAAAGGATTTGTCAGCTATTCCTTAAAGCTTTTTGATGGAGTTGCCAATATTTCCTCTGCTGATGTGGGGGCAACCGACTCAGCAATCACAGGAGGCACTGGTCGTTTGTGCAGACTTTACTCGTGTAGAGCAGGAAGGCGGGGCATTGGCAGACGGACAGTGGAGCAGATAAGCCAAGAAGAAATGCACCCAGTGTTGCAGAGAAAGGGGAAACGATTCTGGACAGCAGAGAACATATTGCCCCAAACTGCACATTATGGTTGCCGTAGGATGTTATAAAATTTCAGCCAACAGACTTTGCATGGGTTCCTGAGAATGAAAATATGTAACACCAAAGGGTCAAGATTCTAGATGAAATTTGGGTGTGATGATTGCAAACCCAGTTATAGATCCTAACAACTCATATCTGCACATTTCAGGGTCACTTATTGTGTCCCATTCCCTAGGGATCATTGGGATGGAAAATTTTTCCTTCTACCCTTCTAGGTTCTTTGGCTGATCTAATCATTGATATAAGACAGATTAATGGGGAAAAACAAATTTTTAATTTTGTATATATGGAAGCCCCATAAAAATATGAGACTCAAGGGTAAGTCAGGCAGTTGAGGCCTATATGCCATCCTGAGCTAAGGAAAGAGATAGAGGCCTGGGGCTTCAAAGCGGAGGAGGGTAATTCACAGGACAATAAGGAGAGCAGGTGTTTGGTGGGTGTTTTCCTTACCAAACAGATAAGGTATTCAAATAAAAGTATGTCCGGTAATAGCTCTTTCTCTGAGCCAGGCCCCCTATCTCAATTCTTTAAGGCGGTTTGGGGTGGCATATTCTCCCCGTCAGGATCCTGTACCATAACCTGGGTGGTAAAGATGCATCACTCCAGTCTCAGCCTCCATTGTTATGTGACGTGTTCTGCTCTGTGTGCCTCTCTGCGTCCACATTTCCCTCTTTGTATAAGGACACAGCCATACTGGATTTAGGGTCCACCCTAACCTAGTGTGACTTCATCTAAAGTTGATTGTATCTGCAAAGACCCTATTTCCGAGTAAGGTCACAGTCATAGTTCTGGGGCTTGAAGCTTTCTGGGGGGACACAATTCAATCCAGAAAACTACCTAATACTTAGTTTCCTAATTTGGCTAGATTATCTGAGGCCCCTTAAACACAACAGGGAGTTGGGAGGGTGGCGATTCGGGCACTTAGCCCAGGGTCCTGTGCTTACAACATGCTTGACAAACATCAGACAAATCTGACTGACGTTTAATTATGAGGCAGAAGATTTTATCGGGTCACAGGGACAGCACAGAGCTGAAAAAGAAGGGGCTTTGGTTTAAGGGTCTGTTAACCCTGAGTTAGCAAACAATATTCATACTCAACTTTGAAAGGCTGCTTATTTCCATTTTTAGGAACTCTCAGTCTGTCTCCTGTCCTGATGGAAATTGTAGAACATTATATGTTGATCACACTGTCTCCATTTGCAGGGCCCAAAGCAATGAGTACTGAGCTGCCTACAATCAGTGTTTAACAGTCTCTTACAGTATGCTATAAACTGTCTACTCTCCTATGCTCTATTAGGCTAATTTCATCTTGCTATGCCAATTACAATTTGAATGATGAGGCCTCCGTAGTAGAACAATGGTGTCAGAATTTCGAGGGATGATTTCTCCCCCCAGCTGCTCTCTCTCGTGGTCCCTGTGCACTGATTGAGAAAATGGAGCTCTTCTAATAATAACTCCTTGAATCACCCACAGAAGTGCCTTCCCATTAAGGACTCAAAAAGAATCGAAAACATTTCACAGAACACTATTTTCTGTTCTCAGTTTAATTCAGAAAATATTTATTAAGCACTTTTATACGTATCACATGTACGTGCTAGGGGACAATCAAAACAGCTGCGGCTTCCTCATCTTAGGAAACCTGCAATTTGGTAAGAAGTGTGTGTGCCTAAAGCTGCTGGGAAGCACTGTCAGGAAGTACACGCTCCATCTCACACTGAGTGCTGGGGACAGACAGACATGTAGAAGAGCTTTGGGATGCGGGGAAAGAAGCCACGTTGGAGAGGGTGAAGGGGGAGTTTATAGCGAGAGCTTGAGCTGGCCTGTGTTAGCGAAGGAAGTGAGGGCATGGCAAGATGTTGGTGGGAAAGAGAACAAATAACAGGTTCAAATGAACTTTTCATATTCTGCTGTGTAGACCCAGAATCCAGCACAGTGTAGATACTTAAGGTGATTGAACGTGCATGGGCTCCCAGCTGGTTTTCTTTACCACGGCAGGATTCAGAGCTGGATGTAGGTGCTTCTCCTTGGAGCTGCTGGGACCTGAGGATGTTAACTTTGTGATTGGATGAGGCTGGACAAGTCCAGCACACCAGCTGTTCATAGGGAGACCTATTCTGAGTGTCTTGGCCTGATTCCCATACCAAGTGCTGCCCACTGATTTGGTGAGTCCCTACGTTAGATTTCCAGGGCTGCCTTTACAAAAATACCACCGCCTGGGGGGCTTAAACAAAAGAAATCTATTGCTTGCATTTCTGGAAATCCAAGGTCAAGGTGTCAGCAGGGTTGGCCTCTCGTGAGGACTTTCTTCTTGGCTTGCAGATGGTGGCGGCTTACGTGGTCCTTCCTGTGCATGCTCTCACGTCCGTGTCTAAATTTCCTCTTCCTTTAAGGATACTAGTTGGATTGATTTAGGGCACACTTCCGTGGCCTCATTTTGACTTAATCACCTCTCTAAAGGCCTTACCTCCAGGTGCAGTCACATGCTGAGGTACTGAGGGTGGGGTTCAGGTCTTCAGCATATGAATGGGGGTTGGGGAGGGAAGACGCAGTTCAAGCCATAACATTCTCTTTTCAAAATCCCTGAACTTGATTTTGGATCCTCTCGGGTTCAAGTCTGTTCTACTCATGCTCTTCCCTTCCTGACCCTTAGGGTCCCCACAGTCTTGTGATCAACATGAGGGGATGGCGAGTGCTTTGAGGGAAGGGGGTGTCTGCAGGGCAGCCCTCAGACCTAGGCAAGAAGGGCTCTGTCCTGGGCTCCACACTTTAGGGGCCCCTCCTCTGGCCTTCCTCTGGATGTCCCCCCTATCGAAAGAGAGGTCATAGCGCCAGGAGGACACACTCACCTGGAGCCTGCCCCTCCCTTCCAGTCACATTCTGAGTGACGAGGACCCGAGAATTCCCTGCCCAGCTGGCTCCCAGTCCCCCTCTAAGGAGTGACTGCAGTGGGTAAGGTTAAGGGGTACAGCATAGGTTGTCCGCACTCGTGCCTGTAAGGTGCTTGGTGATGTAGGAACAGAGTGGAAAGAGAAAAGTGCTAAGCCAGGAGCTGGGGGTTGGGGTGGGATCCTGTGGGCGCCCCCAGGTGCTCCTGCCCCAGGAGGAAATGTAAGAGATGGGCCTGCGTGTGCCCTTTCCAGTACCTCTCCAACACCTCCCCCTCCCCCCAAACACACACACTCCCTCCCTCTCTCTCTTCCAGCATTGTTCTGGCTTCTTGGCTGGGCTAGAGCTATATAGAGATTTAAAAGTCACTGCCACACTCCAGAGTGGGTATGGTGATGGAGCCGGGCAGAGCCAGGGACGGCATTTTGTGCGTATCTAGCTCGGACTCCCTGAGGGGTAGGGCGCCGTGTTAACTTGTCCTCCAGGTTTGCCCACTCAGCAGTGAGGACCCGGGTTTCCTGTGTCCTTCAGAGCCTGGACCCCATTGCTCAATGCTTGGGGTTTCGTCCTCAGGCAAACTGCTGGAGGAATTCCCATGGTAACTGAGGCGAGGTCTGCTGTCGCCTGCTTTCATGGGCTTTGGGGCCTGTGAGGCGGCTCCTCTATGAGTTAGATGGGGAGACGTCGTTGGAGACAATGGGCGCCCCGCCCGCTTTTCAGCTGCTGTTACGCCTGAGCTTTTTCGGAAGGGAGATTCGGATCTAACAAAAAATACCCTTTTAAAAGCAAATGGAAGGCGAAGGAAATTTGACGTGGAAGCCCAGAGGTAGACTTTATCTTTTTATTCCTCATTCTCTTGTCTTACACACTTTGTTGCTTGTAGGGCTCTAAGTGAAATTTTAAAAAATGGTTTTTCAACAATGTAGATAAACTCCAAAGTTTTTACACCTAGATCTTTGATTTCCCTATGGCCTCCAAGATGTGCTGTGCGGTGAAAGGGGACAGAGGAAGGTCCTGGCTGCTGTGGCCTCGCGGGGTGACTGCAGAAGGTCACTACAGGGTCACAGCTTTGCTTCGTAGGCCCAGGAAGTTGATTTTCTCAGTTTATCCAGGGTCATGAAGCTAGAGGCCTGATTCACAGGGCCCAGAGGCTCATGAATGGGGAGTTGATTAACACAACAAAAAGCAAATCGATTCCTTTAAAATTAGAGCTAGAACTTCCAAAGGGAACAACAGACAGGTCAGCTGGTCAGTGCACTTCTTTTTCAGTGGAAGAGTTTTATTTGGGAAATTCACATACTACCAGGAAGGAGCTCGGGGAGCATCAGTTCGGAGCAAGTGGAATTGGATAATGAGGAATTCTGCTGCCATGTCCCCTGTGGGGACCTCTTGGACGGTGCACCCTCACTCTTGGCCAGTGCTGAGGACACGCAGACAACTCCTCCTTATCCTCTTGTCTTACCCTTAACAGGTCACAGTTCAGAATCACTCATATATTAACAATCATATATTGTTAATCTTTTAGTGGCCTAATTGGACATCCAGAAACACTTCAGTCACACTCATGGGAACAGTGGGTGTTGGAAGTGAAAAGGACATTAGACTACAGTGTGTCCAACCCACCCTCCCTCATTACGCCGATGAGGAAATGAGACCCAGAGAGGTGAGGTGACTTGCCCAGGGTCACAGAGCAAGCTGGTTCAGACACAAGCCTCCTGTATGCAAGTCTAGGCAATGCAGTGTGGCGGGATGAGGTAGCGCGAGGACATCAAAAGACCACATCCTACTACATCCTTCAAGTTCCCACAGCCCTGGGACGAGTCCCGGCCCTGCCACTTAGCAGCAATAACAATGAAGATGACGAGCATTTATTGACCTCTTACTACGTGCCAGGTACTTTCTAAGTGCTTTACAGTCATTGCTACATTTAGCTCTCACAACAACCCTGTGCGGTAGGTACTGTCATCTCCATTTGCCAAGGGAAAACCGAGGCATAGAAAGATGGAGTAACTTGCCCATGGTGATACAGTAAGGGGCGGCCGCAGGCTCCCACACTGCAGGACCTGCATTCTTAACCGCTATGCTTAGGTTTACATACTGATCTGAGGAGAATTGTCCTTGTCTGTAAGACAAGTGAATAATAGCTCCTTGTAGGGTCGTTGATGGATTGGAAATAATGACCAAACACGTCTCATATCTAATGGGCACTTAATAAACAGCAGCATATTTTGTTATTTATAATTGGCATGGCTGTTTTGTTAAACCATGCCATGTCCCCCATTCTTTGAGGAGGATTTGGATGTCCCCTAGTCCTGTGGTTCTCAAAGAGTGCACTCTGATTAGCAGCAAGGGCACCTGGGAACTTGTTAGAAATGCAGATTCCCAGGTCCCACCCCAGACCTACTGGATCAGAAGCTTGTAGGGAGGAGAGGCAGGAAGAATCTATTCACCGAGCCCTCCAGGTAATTCTGAGTCACGCTAAAACCTAAGACTACTACCCTAGTCTTACCACTGACATCTTTCATGTCTTTCTTGCTGTGACTAATTAGCTGTGTCCTAAGTTGTGCTCCTTAGCTTCAATTTCAGACAGCACCTTTCAACCACCTTGTGGGCATCCTTCATATTGTTCTTTCTCATATTGCATGTATCTCTCTTGTGGGGACCTGTTCACAAATAGATTTGAGCTGGCAATGGTGCCTTTTCAGGACTGTCATTTTCTGCACTGTATGCTGGGAAAGAGGCCAGAGTCTGGGCAGGTGACCTGTGGGTCACCTCCAGCTGCACTAAAAGTTCCTAGTTCTGTGAGTTTCAGCACCTTTGTGCCCTATTTTCCTTCTCTTTAAATCAGATGTGTTAAGAGCCAGCTGCCCTTTCTAATGTCAAGATTTTGTTTTGAAATAAGAGATATGAAAAATCTTGGAAAAATATTTATTGCCAAGTAAAGTATTATTAATACAATTCTTTTTTTTTTTTTTTCTCTCGGTAGATATTTTAAGATTCAGAAATGCTTCATTTTTGGCTCCTTCTCTGTCTCTCTTTACGATGAATTCTTCCTCCCCATCTGGTGGGGGCATGGCCAGATGTGCTACTGGACTGTTTCCCCTGGACGCGTTTGCTGCCGTGTGTCTGTGAGTACGGGCACCTGAGCTACCTGGTTAGCGTGTGTGTAATGGGGCTGTTTTCTCAACTTCCACTCACCGGCTACACTGAGCTGTTTCATTTTCTGCCGTTGAATGTTGTCCAGCCAGTGCTGTCTATGTACAGGGAGATCACCATTTACCTTAGACAAGAAGATTCAAAAGAATTCAAGAGGAAGGCTGGCCACACCCAAATGTCATTAGGTTTCAGGGTCACTAAGAAGTGTATCTTGTCCCAAAATATTCCTTTTCCTATCATGTGAGCCCTGAAGATCAATTTCTCTTAACTGAGACATCGCTTCTCACACAAATACCCAGCAGTATTGCCTGGTACTTCTGGTTGGCATCTTGCATTGCCAGAAGCAGAATTGCTGGCCCATAGTTCACATCATTTGATAAGGTGCTTTCCTGAAAACCTCATTTAAACTGCCCCCGGGAGGAGACATCCATGTCTTTTTCATCACCCTGTCACTGGCATCCAAAGCTCCCTTTCTAAGAACGAGTACCAATTTAATAAATATATAAATTGGTTTAATTTACATTTTAAAAAACTGGTCATGAAGGTTTTTCCCCTAACGTTTATTTATCTGCTATTCATCCTCTTCCCTCCCTCGTCTATGTGTGTGCTGGTTGGGTTCTTAAGAATTTTTAAAGTTCATTGTAAAGATAAAGGATATGAATCTTGAGCCATATCAGCTGCAAATATCTGCCTCAGTGTTTTGGTTGCTTTTTGTTTGTTTGTTTATGATTTTTTTTTTTTAACAATTATAATGAGTTCGGTGAAATCCATTAATCATTTTCTTTGTAATTTTTTTATCCTCAGAAAGCTACTTCCAACTCTTAAAAGCGTTGAAGTTTTACCTGCCTTCCAGCAGGGAGCTTGAGTGGTTTTGTTTTTGCTAGACTGTTCCCTCCGCATCTTACCGCTGTGGCAGCGTCAGTGTGATGGAAAGTCTCGGCATCTTCTCATTTGCTTCTTCTCCCTGCAGGTTCCTCACGCTGCTGGGCCTGGTCCTTCCTCTGGCTGGAACGGTCTACGTGGCAGCCAGGGGTTGGGCGTCAGACCACAGGGCGTCCCCAGCACATGGCACGCATTCGGCCACTTACGGGAGTCTGCCTTTGAGAGAGATGGAGAGGAGCGAACAAAGAAACGGAATCCGATGGGCGGGTGGCCTGGCCCATCTCTCACGGTCAGGAGCCCTGAGCAGAGGGGAAAGTAGGCATTTTAATAAACGAAGAGCCCTTGCGAGACGTGATTTAGATGGGTATGACATTGGAAAATAATTCCTGCAGTGTCAGAGTCCAGTGAACTCCCAGCAGCTTCTAACTGCCAGCGTGAGGCTGGGTCTCTGCTCTTCACAATTCGGTCTGTGTTGACCATCAGTGTGTTAAGGCGAGGGCCCTGAAAACGCTGCTTTATTTCTTGGGCACAATTATCCCGTGTGTTTTTGTGCTACTGGACGACTAGGTCAGAGCAGAGCTTGGGTTTTACTACAGCAATCCTCTAAGGCACAATTCCGTGATCACAGTGTCTGTTTTCAGTGTCGCAGCTACACAGATGACTCAGAGCCTCCCCGGCATCGCCGAGGTAAACGATTTATATAAACTGCAGCCAGGGGAGTGAGTATGCAACACAGCTGATTTAAACATGGCAGCGTGTATCTGAGTCAGAAATAGATAACCCGGCACGGTGTAGTGAGAGGCTGGATTGCAATGAGTCACACTGTGTTGTGTTTTAGTTAAAAATCAAGAGTATTACCTTCATTCATTTCCACATGCCCATATGGCAAGGCGAAGAGAACACACACACACCCGCACACACCCAGAAACAAGAATCGCCTTGTCATACAAGTACCTCTAGAACACGTGAAAGGGTTTTTGCAAGAGCCCCTTTACGTCCTTCCTTTACCCCAACTAAGGGAATAAAAATAAAACAAAATTTCAGTAAATGGACTAGAAGAATTATGAATAGGTGATAAAGCGGCTTCAGGAAATCTGTCCAATGTGGAAGGCATAGTAATGATTTGATCAGATTCTGTTTGTATCTTCGGGCAAAAAACAAAAACAACAGGAACACCGACAACAACAACAAAAAACCAACAAAAACAACAAGAAAAACAACAAAAAACGTGTTTGTATGGAGTTGACATAACGGAAAAGTTGAGAAGGTTTATAGGTCCCTGTGCAAGCAGCCTCCTTCCCAGATCAGGAGCCGGCTCCCCGCCCAGCGGTCCCCATTACTCCACATGATGGGGAGCAGTCATACTTCGGCTTCCGCAGACTCCCCCAAAGTCTGAGAACCCCTCGCTTCTCAAATGACGAGTTTCAAGAGCTCTCTCTGCACCCCTGCTACCCCATAGAAGGTTCTGCGGGGGGCGTGGCAGAAAGAAAGCAGGTTTAGAAACCCCCCTGTCACACCTGCCTTGGTTTCTAACTCTGCCCTTGGTCAGGTTTTGGCCTCGAGGAACCTCAGTTTCCACATGTGTGAAATGGGGGGCATATACTAGAATCTGTTGAAGGAATTCAATGAGGTAATGCTCATGCACCTTCCTAATTAGTTGTTCTTTTCCTCATGCTTTTTAATTAATCCAGGAGAGGGAGAAGGGCGGGCGCCAAGCCCTCTTGTTACCCTGACCTCAATGAGGTTGACTGAGTTCCAGGGACCTGCCACATGCTTCTAATTGTCAGCTTGAGGGGGAGCCTACAGTTAACAGAATCCACCATTGCCAGTCATCCGTAGGAGGTTGGTTTAGCCTCCTATCGATGGGTTATAGAGCCCTGCATTTTAAGGTCAAATCACAGGATTTAGGGTATGCACACAGGGTGTGGTATTAGGAATTGGCTACTTCGGATTCTTGACCCAAAATGAAACGCTATGATCTAAGATTATGTCAGCTTTTTCAGCAACGACATTTAACTGAGGCCTCAAAATGGGAGATTGTTCTGTTGCTTTAGCATTTTTTTTTTTAGTATTTAATACCATCAAAGTAAAATATCACATTTCTGAATGTTTGGAAAGAAAAATCAAGATGGAGAGAACCCTGGGTTCAGCATTTTCTTCTCTCCACCTTTACGCTCACCAGCGAGTCAAATCAGCATGAGACACCAAGTCTTCTAGAAGTTTAGAGCCATATCGGGTATTCTGGGTTCCTGGTTCTTTATCTTCCAAATAATCATTGCATTTGCTTAGAGTGTTTTCCTACACGCGAGCCTGTCCTTTACGATTTAGATGAGAAAAATAGGAGCGAATGCTTGCGAATGTGTTCGTGAAGTGAATAGTTATGAGTTCCAGTCCCTGGAGGTCAGGCTCTTGCTCTGTGGTCCGTTGCCTACAGTGGCCTCGCAGTAATCATTCCTAGAGAGTCGAAAGATGCTGCGAGGGTTTTTATAGCCCTGTCATGGCCAGCAGTTCTCAGACTTTGGTGGACATGCAGATCCCCAAAGATTCAGATTCAGTTAATCCGGGGCGGGGCCTGGGACTGTGCGTGTCTAACAAGGTGCCAGGTGATGCCGAAGCTGCTGGTCCAGGGACCGCCACTTTGAGAACTGCCGACCACCTGTATCATTTCATCTACTTCTCCCTGTGCCCCTGTGCTTTATAATACTTGTCACATGAGTAAAGTGGCACTCAGAGAGATTGCCACTGCTACGGACCAGTTATTTTCAGAAGATTTTATAAGCTGCTGCTAGTTAAGCTGACTCACAAGTAGAATTTAGACAGGAAATAAATAATGAAGCAAAGTGTATTCAGTTCTTGCTTTTGCCAAATTAGGCATTGGGCCAGATGTTTGATAAACGTTCTCAAATCCTCTCAAGAACACTGTCAAAAAGTGTGCTTAATTTAAAAGTGAGGAGACAGGCTCAGGGAGGCTAAGAAACTCAGTGGAACTCGGTAGAGCCCAGGTCCCGTATCTTTCCATTGCAGCCTGTGGCTTCTCAGGGAGCTGAGGGGAGCCAGGTGACACTAGGTATAGGACCACTATGGTGCTGTGGTGCTGCCAATCCCTGGTGAGTGAAAATTCCTCTGAATGAGAGGTGAGCTGCGTGCCTTCAGCCAGGCACTCTGAGAGTGACTCCAGTGGGAAAACTCAGAGTTAACGGCTGGACCCTCAAAATATAGGGTAATTACATTCTTCCATGTTAGAAGTTGTTTTAGATTGCCAGAGCTCGATTACAAGCTAGCTCTTGCTTGTAAGTTTTAATTCTGCAAGGGTTTCTGGTGCCCACAGTGTTTTAGGCACAAAGCTATGTCCAGGAGAAAATATGAGTCTCTTAGAGGCAACCTGAGCTTTGGAGACCCTTGTTTCACAGCTCCGGCCACTTAATTGGCTCTCGGAATGAATTAAATGAAATAAAATAAATAAATAAATAAATAAATAAATAAATAAATAAATAAAGGGAACAAATTAAGTATAAGGGATTAACCATTCTTAAAGCAATAGGGCTTAAAATAGTGAGCATAGTAGCTGTGATGTTATCTCACTGGCTCTTCATGATAATCCTATGATCATAAGATCATTTTGCAGATGTGGAAGCTTAGGCACAGAGAAGTTAAGTCACTCGCTAGAGGTCACAGAGCTAATAAGTGACAGCCAGACTCAGAACTAGGAGTGTCTAACGATAAGGCCTGGACCCTTAGCTCCTGGATCATCTGCCCCTCTGTTCTCATACCTGTGCCTTGACAGGTAGGGATGTTATTTGTAGGTGGTTCATTCTTAAGGGAGCACCAGAGATGCCATTTTAAATGAAATGCTGGCCTCATGTGGTTTCTTGATGCTGTCTGAGTTCTCTTCCCCTCAGGACCATGGTGAGGCACTGGCATCCTGGGGCCTGCGTAAGGCAGTGAGTTCTCTGCAAGGCAGTGTGGGTGCCAGCCTCAAGTCAAGTCTGTTAGGAAAAGTCAAGTTTCACTGGGGAGGGAGACCAAGTCCAAAGATCCACATACAGATCAAGAGGGGATGATGAAGAACTGAGCTGAGCCGCCCCAGGTCACGATGAAGGAATGTCTAGGTGACAGCCAACGTCACTGGTGTGTGTGTTTTGACTCTTGTTTGTGGAGCAGTGTGGGATTGGTCTGGCTTCAGGGTGGGCAATAACACCTTTGCTCTCGCCTAGGATTTCTAGGAGCTGTGGACTGTGCTCTGAAATGCTTTTCTTGGCAGAAGAATATGCCAGCCATCTGGACTACCAACACGCCAGGAAGCACGTGCCCTGCACTGAATGGCATCCGAGTCTTGAGTCTCCTCTGGATCATGTCGGGGCACACCAGTCAGATGACCGCGTGGCTGTCTTTGGGTACGGAGAATTGATGAGCCTTTATGAGCAGTCGAGGAAGAAAGAGTCTTTTGTGTGATAGGGTCACGTTGGGCCACAGGATGGGAGGCCACAGCCTTCCCTATGAGCAGCCATCCTTCTGTTTTAGAGACATAGCCATGACCCATAAATGAGTATTTAAGCCAGTGTCCAGTGGCTGCTTTACCTCCTGTGAAGTATAAATTAAGCACCTGGTTACCAGGTGAATACCGATACCTGTGTATTATATTTTCGTCATCCAAAGAGCTGGGTTTCCTCTCATCATGGTTAATAAAGCCAGAAACTAACATTATTTTTTTCTCCTGGAGAGACGGGCATATGTAAACAAATGTTGTGCGCTAGTCTTGAATCAATGTTTCTTAAGCTTCTCCCGTTGCTGAGCTCCTGAAGTGCTCCCATAGGTGGCGATGGTGCTCTCTAAGCAGAGCCCAGACACACACATCAGACTTGAAGGGAGGGGGCCAGCCCCGGTGGTTTGAAGAACCTAGCAGGAGCTCAGCAGCGGTCCATGAACAGGTGACGCTGCTTTAGTCCCAAGGGGACCATGACCACGATGAGAGCACAAGGGAGCTCGAAGCCTTAGTTAAGGTTAAGTACCTCGGGCACCATCGTTTCTTTCTAGTCCACATTCTCCTAAGTGAATTACAGGGATGCACAGCACCCTCCCTGTACAACCGAAAGCTGAAGGTGTTCCTCTTGCTTTTTCTGAAAAGGTAAATCACATGATTTTCTTCTAGTAGACAAATAGAAACTGCTTTTTGTGTTCATTACAGATAATGTTCTCGAATGGAAAACCAGAGTACTTAAAAACCCACTGTACCTTTGTTCTCGGAGTGGCCCCTTCTACCTTGGGGTTGACACATTTTTCTTGATCAGGTAATACGGTGTTTTTTTCTGCTATTGTGCTTATTGCTGATTTGGGGAGGGGGGCAGAGGGGTAGGATATGTGTATGTGTTGCCATTCTCACTTTAGTAAGAAAAACTGAATGGTTCACATTTACTCACCTGGCCTTTACTTCTGTCTATCTCTGGACAGTTCTGTTGTCGCAAACTCCTCTCCTTTGTAATTTCAGTTTATTAAATGGGTTAGAATGGCTCTCTAAAACGGGCCTTTTACAAAGGGTGATTTTATTTCTCAAAATTGTTGATTTCAGTGGTTCTCAAATTCTGATCCATGTACTGATGTGAATCCATGATGAAGTTTCCAATTCTTACTATAGTGAAATGTGAAAGAAAAAAAAATGGTGTGGTGTTTCATAAAGCTATGTTTATTTAAATTAACTACTGAGAGGCAAAATTCCTTAGTTGTTTGGTAATATCAGGCACTGTGTTACATACTTTGCAGCATCACCTGATCTAATCCTCATAATAGCCCTATGCAGTAGGGACCATTGTTAAACATCTTCGTTTTGTTCATTGTGGTAAAATTCACCTAATATAAAACTAGCCATTTAAAGTGAACAATTCAGTGGTATTTAGTACATTCACAATGTGTGCAATGACCATTCTTCTCTAGTTTCAAAACATTTTCATCATCTCTAAAGGAAACCTCATACCCATGAGGAAGTTACTCCCTAGTGACCCCTATTTAAAGCCACAGTGCTGAATCGTTCTACTGAGAGGAACGTGGAATGACAGATCGGGGCTGGATCCTAGGACTCCTGACCTTCGGAAGATGGAAAGAAGGGGAGGGGCCCAAAAAGGAGCCTGAGAATGAGCAGCAGTAGGGGACTACTAATAACTGTCCATTTTCTGTAACACTTACTTCCCTGACATCCTGATGGCTTGCTCCCTCTCCTCTGTCAAGATTCTACTCAAACGTCACCTTCACAACAAGGCCTTTCCTGTTTCCCTGTTTAAAATAAACCCACCCAGCATTCTCTATTTCATTTTTCCTGATATGTTTCTTCTCATTATCTATTATAGCTGCCCCTCCCTCCCTCCCTCCCTTCTCTCTTTCTCTGCCCCTGCCCCCTGCTCCCCGCTGGAATGTAAGGCAGGACTTTTTCTGTTTTTGTATTGCTATCGTCAGCGTGGAAAGCAGTGCTAGGCACAGAGTGCTGCTCGATAAAGTTGTTAAAATGATTTCTTAGTTGTTTTATCTCAGGACTCTGGTGTGATGGTTTCTTAGGGTAATGCAGAAAAAGTAGGGTACAGAATGAGCTGAGACCTGTCCACTAGGGCAACAGCTCATGCTAGGAGGCAGCCAAGGTGACAGTAGGGTAGTCCAGGCAGGCAAGGGTCAGAGTCCACCATGGGCAGCAAACCCAGCAGAGATATGGAACCACTGGGCACCAGATTTCCAAGAGGGCATAGCTGAGTCTAACCGGGCAGGTGAAGCCCAATCACAGGAGACCTGGGGCATGCACGGAGGATGGAGAGGTCCTCCCACGGTCCAGCAAAGACCAGAACCCTTCCCTGCAAAGGAAACTAGTAAGAACAAAGCAAAAAGAGACTGTGTGTTAGATGCACTGGGTGGCAGAGCTCCAAGCCCTGGGAGAGAAGTTGGCAAGGACCAATCAGGATGGCTGGAACCAAAGCCAAAACTCCAGCTAGAGAATTGCCACTAGCAGGGAAGAATGAAGGGCATGAGAGGCCACTGGTCATCCTGGGCCACCAGTGGGAAATTGAGACAGCAGAGAAGCCATCGGGTCAGCTCCGAGTAATCCGAAACACAGATAGTGCATGCCCCCTTTATTGCAAATACCTCCAACCTGGCTCGGCCCGGGGCCTGGAGAGGGCTGTGCCTTTTATCGGTGGTTCCGAGAATCTGGTCCCTGCACAGTGGCACCAGCATCATCTGGAAGCTTGTTAGAAATGCAGATTCTCAGGCCCTGCCCCGGACCCACCAAGTCGGACTTTCTTTTTTAACCTATTTGCTTTTATTTCTCATTGCCAGTCTCAGTAACTTCTTTTTTCTTCTTTTAATTTTCATTTTATTACTTTAGAAAGTTCATATATTCTTTTAAATAAACTTCTTGTTTGAACAATAGAAATGTCACTAATAGTGACATTCAGTATTACCATTTATGTTAAGAGCTTAAAATCTTTTATCCCATACAATTCTCACGATAAACCTAGAAAGCCAGAACCAATATCATATCCATTTCTACAGATGAGAAAGTTGATGTTTAGAGATGCAATAACTTATCCGAGTCTCCACAGCAAGGAAAGTTAGAAATGAAATATAATGTTTGTTTCATGCTGAAACCATCTCTTAACCACTACGTCACTGATGGGTTTCCATGGGAAAACCAAAGAGTTCCAATTATCTTTAAGCATAGCTAGCGGGTGACGGTTTGGAATCCTCGTCCGCCACTCCGGGTGACTTCCTACATCTCTGCTGCAGAGTTTTATTCTTTCCCGGTCTGTTTAGGTCTCTGGCTCTCATTAGCCTCCTGGAACTGGGTCTCTTGCTAGGGCCTGTTTTCCTGCCAGCCTTTTTCCTTTGTCCTGTCTTCACGCGCGTACAGGCTGGATGGTGCACGCCCGCACACAGAGTGAGATCCACGCCTTGCTTAGCAACCAGGCTGGCAGAGGGGAGCCAGTCCCGCTGAAAAGAAAGGCTCGCTAGGGCCCCTGATTCACCCTTTCCTGAAATTCAGAGGCCAGAATCCGAACTGGCTGTCCTACTTCCATACCTGAGTGTTCTTTCTTAGACGTCTCTATAAATTTTGTTCCTATTATAGCGACTCCTATTTGCTGCATTTCAAAAGAAGGTTTAGTTGGCAGAGAATAAAGACATTCTCCAGCCTTCCCCGATCCCTTCCAAGTCCTGCCCAACACACATGGCCTTTTGCAACAGGAAATACATTTGTCCCTTAGGGAAACACCCACCAGGATCCCTGGCATAAAAGTCAAAGGTTGGGAAACTCATGCACGAATTTGCTTACCATCAAGTTATAGCTCAAAGGCATAGCCTCAGTTTCTTAAGCTGAGCATTCTGAGTAATGAATTCGTTGTCAGAATTCTAAGTGGGATCTCACACGAACCACGTAACAGTCTTTGAGTCTTAATTTTCTATTCAGTAAGCAGCATCAGTAAATCATCCCTTGAACCTAACTGAGCTGTATATTCCTCTCATGATTCACTCAGCAAACACGCATTGCAGACTAGTTTGGTATGGCTCAGGAAGCAGAAGCCATCCTGCTAGTGGTGGTACTCGAAGATGGCTCGGTGCTACGGAGATGGAAGTTCTGGATGTCGTTGTTGCCGAAGACCAGTGTGGCAGTTCTTAGTTCCACCAAGTATTTCTGGTTCTCCTCCCTCCAGGCGGCTGGTAACATTCCGCTTCCTGGACCCACCGTGGTTGGCAGGTCCCATCGCTAGTTCTGACCAGCAACGAGTGGTTCCTGTTATTGCCATCGTGCTGAGAGCTGTAAACATGTCCTTCCGGGGCTAGGACATGTAATTGCTGGTTTGAGGCCCTCCAGAACTCTCTGGTCCTCTGCCATGGTCACTGGTGATCTTCGAGATAGTGGCGGCTCCGTCAGCCTGAGTCCGTAGTGAGGAAGTTGCTGACCCCAAAGCAAATGGCCCTTGGCATGTTGTACAAGCAAGAAAAAAAAAAAAAAACGATTGTTGCTTTAAGCCTTGGAAGTCTTTCGTTACTGCAGCATAACTTCTTCAATCTTGACAGAGACAACCAAATGAATCAACCGATGGACTGTGTCATTGATAAGTGATTCCTGTGACCATTCTCTTTCTCTCAGTGGCTGGTTAAGTGCAAGGTCATTTTTAAAGATGCATCAGACTTCAGAAAAAGGATTAACCGCTAATGTCATACTCAGATACTACTTCAGTCGCCTCTTAAGGTAGGCCTATTTGTAAAATTTCTCAATCTATTATTGCTGTGTAACAATTTATTATTATTTAGTTTTTAACCCTTTTCTGAGAGAATTTTCAAAGAAAAAAAATGAGAGAAATAATTTTCTTCCTTAAATACAATTGTTTTTTTTTTTTTACTAGTTTTATGGCTTTTACCAAAGAAAGATACCAGTTTTCGTGGTATTTGTCCTAATAGAATTTGAACTATATTAAACTAGCAAAAACGTACTCATTCCTTAGCTGATGGATGGCAGATTTCAATCAACATACTGTCAGGTTTTTGTGGAATCTGTATTCAATAGGAGAATTTGTATGGCTCCTGTAAATTGGTAGTAATTGGATCGTGTAAATAAGAATACTAATGATAAAAATAAAATAAGGTACAACCAGGAGGGGGCTGGGACAGTGGTGGTTCTGCTGAGAGAGACAGAACGATGATCTTAATGAATGCGTTGATCTTAATGATTGGTTGGAGCAGAAGGGTTCACTATTGAGACAATGTGGAATTAGTGGGGTAGCACAGTGGCAGGTATGTAATAAAACGAACCAAGTGTAGGAAGTAAAGGGCCTTCAACTCATGTAACCGCTCTATTTGTATGTTTCTGAATCATGGTTAGTTGTTGAACTAGGTAGAGCCCAGCTCTCATTGCTCACGGTCCATGCACTATACTCTTAAGAAATAGGAAACAGAGTGTTTGAAACGATCTTTTGGGCTAATAAAATGGAGTAGGGAAGGTCTGACTCTGTAGTCTGTCTGCTGCGCTTGCTTTCCGGCTCAGTCATCAGCTGTGTGACTTTCAGCAAGTGTCTCCTCTGTGCTTGAATTTTCTCATCTCAAAAATGGGGAGACTAATAGTACCACTTAATTGGACTCTCAAGAGAATTAAATAGAAAGAACTTAAGAGAAGTGCATGGCACATCATAAGCCTTCAATAAGTATAAGCTATCATTACTACTATTGGTTATTTACATGTTTTAACTGTCTTGTAAATAGGTTAAGCATGAGTACAGCCTAAGGAATAGAACTTTACTGATTTATTTTCATCATGGGAGGGACCGAATGCTTATTCTGCCAATGTATTTTGGGTACGTGGCACTGGGTTAAGTAGCCTGTCCTGCCCCGTGGTTTTCTGGAGGAGAGGAACTGGCGTTCCAGCCAAGGATTCACAGTGATAAATACTAAGATGGGTTAGTTAGGGGTTGGAGTGGGGCATTCGATGGCAAGGTGGGTTCTGCCTGGTAAACTTGCTTTAGAGGAAAAATCCTGCAGCTGGAGATTTAGGAGCAAGAAGTGTTTTACCAGGAAGGTAAAGCCCCGGTGAAAGCAGGGAGAGCTCAGGGCGGTGGGGCGGACGCCGGAGAGTCGATACTGCAGTGCTTGGGCAGGAGAGCAGGATCTGGACAGGCGATTGGCAGCGGCAACAGAGAGAGGGCAAGTCAAGGACACTTGAATTTTCTGGCCTGAGGAGCATGGCAGATGGAGGTGGCATTCTTGAGACAGGAAGCTCTGGAAGAGGGCCAGATGGGAGCAGGAAGAGAATGAGTCCAGCCTAAGACAAAACTGTTGAAAAATGGAGGGACATGTCAGCCACTCACGGTCTGAACTCACCCTCTTCAAGGTAAACCCAGTGAACAAGAAGCCATGGTCTTCGCCGTTTGATGATGCTCTCTTTCATGTCGGCAAAACTCACTGTTATCACTCAATTATGATTTCTTACTTGCCTGCTTACCTCCAAGAGGAGTGAAAGTAAGACGATTTGTTCACATTCGCTTTCTGTATTTATGGAGGGCCCTGAGGATTCAGCAGTTAACAAACCATGCAAGTGCCTTCCGGCACGGGGGTTACATTCTAGTGAAGAGAGATAGGCAATAAACAAATAAATATGCAGCATTCGATTGCAATATGCAAATACATTTATAATAGATCAGTGATGATAAGTGCCACAGAGTGATAATTTGGAGAAGGAAAAAAAGACGATGTCTTCTTCTGCAGAAGAAGGTGACATTTGTCCAGAACCTTGAAGGAAGTAAAGGAGTGTTCTAAGCAAAAAAAGAAAAAAAATTCTGTGAGAGAAGAAGGATCCATTCAGGGGGAACCAAGCACAAAGGAATGAGGAGGGAGGATGATTGGCGTACTTGGGGAACCTCGAAAAGCCCAAAGGTGCTGGAGTGGAGGGCAGAGAGAAAGGTCAGCGCGGGGGCAGGTAGGAAGGTGACCCAGGTCCTATAGGGTCTGTGAGCTGCCTGCAGGACTTACTGTTTTATTCTGACAGGAGGAGCCCTTGGATGCCTCCAGTAGGGCAGTGGCATGGTCAGATTTACATTTGATTTCATCAACCAATCAATTTATTTATTTATTTATTCATTCATTCATTCATTCATTCATTCATTTGTATTAAGTTTATTGGGGTAACATTGGTTAATACAATTATATAATTTTCAGGTGCACATTATAATTTGACATATGGATCAGATTTGCATTTTTGAAGACTCACTTTAGCTGCAGGACAGAGAGCAGACTCAAAGAGGGCAGGGGCAGGAGACAGGAGACCAGTTGCGAGCTATTGCAACTTACAAGAAAATGCAAAAACCCAGCTTCTAGGAGTAAATAGGTGCAGAGATTATCTCATGGCAAATGAGGAGAGGAGATGCTCCAGACCCTTAAAACTGTTGATTATTCCAACTAGGAGCCACATTTTAAAAAGTAGGTAGGTTGTTGTTTTTTTTTTTTTAAATAGGTTGTGATAAAAATGTCTGTAACAGACGGATATATACAAAAATCAAGGGGCTCCCTTCTAGTCTCACTCCCCACAGGGCACCTTTGTTAATAGTTTCCTATGAATTCTTGCAGAGCCTTTCCATATATTTTTATGCAGTTTTTTTCCCCATGAATAGGATTATACTACATGCTATATTAATATACACTATTTCGCATGTAGCTTTTTTTTCACTTAGTGATTTAGCATTGGCACATTTCTCTCTTTGCATGTAAGACCCGCCTCACTGATTTTAAGGGTTGTCTGGGATGGCACTGTGGGATGGACCATCGTGTATATAACCTGTTCCATTAATGGGCATGGAGGTAATTTCCAAGTTTTTTGCCATTTTAAACAGATACAATGTATATACATATTTGTACAATTATATGAGCATGTTTGCAGGGTAAATTCCTACTAGTGCAATTGATGGTTTGGTGCATCTGATGTTTTGATGGACATTTTCCAATTTACCTTCCCACCTACTAGATCTGAGAATGCCTGCTTCTCAAATCCCCACGACGGCTAATATTGCACATTTTAGTCTTCAAAACCTACTTTGACTTTAAATATTCTTGGAGCTTGGACAGAAATGTGCATGTATTTATTTATATGGCGCTTTCAATGTTTCAAACTGTTGTCTTATTGATCTCATTTAATTCTCAAAAAATTTTAGGTGTCAGAAAGCCTCCTCCTCCTTAGAAGAACTTAAGAAATCATCTCCCTTTTCCCTAAGAAGAGGGAAGAGAGAAGTGATGTGATTTTCTCAGTGTGAAATTTTTAGACAAAACTAGAACTCATGTTTCTAGTTTTCCCCCCACATCCTCACTCTTCAAGGCACGGCCCGCCCAGCAGCCTCCGCCCCACCCCCACAGCCCCTGACTCCGAGGCTGCATTTTAAGCAGCACCCAGGGGAGGGGTGTGGATAACAGGTGGAGAATGCTGCCTGTACCACGTTCCCTCCTGAGGACATCTGACCTGAGCTCTGCTTCTGCCGGGAGCCTGCGGCTGATTTACTCTCCCCGGGGACGGGGAGGAGACAGATGGTGTGGAGGCAGCCTGTGGGAGCAGCTGCAGGACATCGTGGGGTGGCTCATCTGGCAGGACCCCGCACCCAGCGGTCGTTCCGTGGCTGTTGCCTGAGCCGATCTGGGGTGCTGCACCTTGGCACAGTCTGTTGATTAGCAGTTCCAGCCCTGCTCCCCAGAGGGCCACTGCCCTCCCGCCCACTGGACACTCTCCACGAGGGATGTTATCACTGTGGGCAGGGAAGGAGGTCAACAGGTCTGGGTCCTGAGTGCAGACCAGAGGCTGGGTGCTGCCCCCACGATTGCTGGGGGTGCACCTCCAGCAATCCCGCCTTTCCCATCTGCCACGCCCCACCGCAGGTCCTGCCACCCCCACCGAGACGATGGGTGCTGCTGGGCATGCGCGCCGCTCTAGCCGTACTAACCTGAATTTTTAAACGTGTTCTTAAGAGCGGCCTCTGATTGCAGCCCACCCAGATTCCAAGCCAGAATTGCGTGCACCGCCCCCCACCCCGCCCCCGCAGCCTCCCTTTAAAACTGTAGGCCTGTGCTGTCCCCTAGGAAGCCACCAGATGTGTGTCCCATTGGGATTGCTGCAAGTGTATGACACACACCAGGTTCTAGACCTTTTTCTTTAGTAAAAGAAAAAAGAATGTAAAATAGCTCAACATTTTTTTTTATATTGGTTACCTGTTGAAATAATAATATTATGGATTTTTTTGGTTCAATAAAATATATTATTAAAATAAATTGTACCTGTTTCTTTTGACTTTTAAAAATGTGGCTACTAGAAAACTAGGTGGCAGATGTGGCTTGAATTACATTTCTATGGCACAGCACTGGTCTAGACACCTCTGTGCCTCATCCATCATCTTTATAGCCACTTCATATCTCACTGGGAAGGGGGCGGGGCATGAGGGGAGGAAGGAAGAAATAAAGCAAGGTAAGGAGAGAGGAGGAGAGAGAGAGAGGAAGGTGATTTCATGCAGGGAGGTGATGTGGAAAGGACATGACTGGTGTCAGGTCTCAGGGCTGCCGTTTGGTTGAGCCACCTTGGGCAAGTCACCCGAACTTCTCTGAGCTACAATTTCCTCATCAGCAAAATAGAAGTAATAGTATCTTGAGGCTTAGAAATAGCTAAAAATATCTAAAAATCTCCCGGCACAGTGACCACCACGTATGACTTGCTCAATGGAGAACAGTACATTTGCATCAGCAGCACCTGAGCCAGCACATGATAGGTGCTCAAGAAAAGATTTTGAACCCACGAGTGTTTGAGGTGTGTCTGGGAGGTGGTCGCTCAGCCAGTGCAGTCTGTTTTAGAGCATCTTATACCCACCCCACCTTGGAGACTGACGGCAGCCACTGTGGAGTCACCTTCTCTCGCCCGGCTCTTTCCTGCCAGGCTGCAGCCTCTTCACATGTACTCCGTGTGCTTATTGGTTGGATTGTTCTCCCTTGCTCCCTGGGGACCCATCTGGGAAGTGCCCAAGTTCCACCTGGACAACTGCCGGCAGG